GTGGGCTCATTAATAGAGTGGAGGATAGAATCAGCCGACATGAGAATAGAGCAAAGAATTTATTCAATTTGAACAACAGAGAGAAAATAGACCAAAAATTATGGACAGACACACTGAGATTGTTGGAGTAGGTACAAAAGCACTAGCATTTTTATCTTTGGAAATCTAGAAGAAGAGGGAAAAGAGTGTGGGACTGACAAAGTATTCAAAGAAATAATGGCTGAAAATTTCCCAAATTTGGATAAAGATATAAAATACACACCCAAGAATTTGAGTTAAATCCAAGTAGGATAAACCCCCAAAACCTGGAGTACTGAAATTGTGAAATCTAAACCAAAGGAAAAAGAAATCTTTTTTTTTAAAAAGATTTTATTTATTTATTTGAGAGAGAGACAGTGAGAGAGAGCATGAGAGGGGAGAAGGTCAGAAGTAGAAACAGACTCCCCCTGGAGCTGGAAGCCTGATGCGGGACTCAATCCCAGGACTCCAGGATCATGACCTGAGCCAAAGGCAGTTGTTTAACCAACTGAGCCACCCAGGCACCCAGAATAAAAATCTTAAAGGCAGCCAGAGAGTAGTGATATTATATTTTTAGGGGAACATTAAATTGAATGGCAGTGGATTTCTCATCTGAAACCACAGAGGCCAGGTAGAAGTGATGCAATGTTTTTCAAGTCCTGAAAGAAAAGAATTGTCAATCATGAATTCTTTATCTGGCAAAAGTATCCTTCAGGAATGAAGGGGAAATAAAGTGACTGAGACAAAGGAAAACTAAGAAAATATTGTCACTAGCAATTCTATCCTTCAAATGGGTAGAATGGATAAGAATGACTTAGGGTAGTTTCCTGAAGAGAAAGAAAATGATAGCAGAAGAAGGTTTGAGATTTCAGAAAGGATGGAACAGCTACAGAATGGGTAGAAATCATTCTAAATATAATAAGTTATCCTCTCCTCTTAATGAGTCCCTTAACTCATATTTGATGGTTGAAGTAAAATTGATGGCACGATTTGAAGTAGTGCTCAAAATATGTAGAAGAAATACTTGATATAATTATATTTAAAAAGTGAAAGTATATGGAGTACTAATGGTACTAAGGGTGAGGAATCTGTAATTCACTTGGACTGGAAAAATATCCATAACCATTGAGTGTAATAAATTACATGTGTATATTTCAACACCTAGAGCAACCACAGTAAGGGATAATCAAAGTAATATACCAAAAAAAGATTTAAAAACATGCTTATGTTCAAATAAAAAAGAGTACTTCAAAAACACAGAAATGCATATAGAGAGTGAGGTTAAAGTCTTGACCTCCATGAGTGGAAGGGAGGTTGAGGAAAATATCTCCAAACACTTGGGTACTATAAATAAGAGAGAGATGAGAGGATAGAGAAGAGCTTCCCCATCAGGAGTTGAAGCAACCCAGCATGACTTCTCTGAGATTAAAGGTGTCCCAGATATCACGACAACTGATAGACCTGAATGGCTATTGGAGAACTGGGATTTCAACTGGGAGCCTACAGAGCTGGGAAGGAGGTGGCTGAAAACTGAAGATAGGAAGAGTAGGGTATGGAGGAAAGAAGGGGGAGGTGGGGCAAGAGAGAGAGTAAAAGAGAGGGACAGCAAAATCATCAAGAGTGTAAATTCATTGGAAATGAAAGTACTTTATAAAGTATTCTGGTACATGCTATGTCCATACATAAAATATAAATAAGTAGAGTGCAGATGACAACTTCATTTTTATTTGGTCAAGAGGGCTCTTGCAGATATGGCTAGTTATGCCCATAGATGTGTCTTCTTGTTGTCCTGCTAGTGAAGTTAGTTGTGGGTTGAAAAAAATGGCACCCAGTCCTTTTAGTTAAATGACTATAAATGTCATCACATCTGGGTGCTTCCCTATCTCTACCCTCAGGCATCTGATGACATGGACACACTTTGTTCCTCAGATCCTAGTTAATAAATCCATCTCATGACTTCTCCGGTGTTGGGTTTGGCCAGCAAACCCCGAGACAACGAATGAAAAGACTACTCCAGACACCTTAGTAGGACAAAGGAGGGACCTGGGGACCAGAAGCTCTAGTGGTGAAAGGCCCCAAGCCAAGCTTTAAGTCCACATTTTTAGGGGGTCTTATCAATACATGAAGTGCAAATGCAAAACAAGGGGGAACTGTAACCTTAATGGTCAGGACAGTAATATATGGAGCAGTGTGTGATAAGGGAAGTAGTGCTTGTGATGTTCGTGCAAGGCAAGGAGGCAAGGAGTTTGTGACATATGTCACCACCACAGGTGCCTGTTTTTCTTCAAAATTTAAACATTCACTCCCTAGATGAGAACCTTGAGCGGCAGTAAGAATCAGGCTGCTTTCAGCCAAGAAACCTCAAAGGAAGCCCAGTGATCCGGGCACTCCTCTTTTGCCTTTCAGTTAGTCTTATCCAGGGAGATGTATACAAATCAGATTTTTTCATTCTTGGAACTGTGAATTCCTGCACTCAGTCATCACACACTGGCTATTTCAGTGAGTTCCTGACTCTCACACTTCTGGGTCCTGTAATTTGATAGGAAGGTGATGAGAACTTGGACTTTAAGGGGGCCAGTCTTAAATGAAATATAAAACTTAACCAGAGGCTATCACGGGGTAAGACACTGGGGTCCTTAGGAGGGGCTAATATATTTCCATTTGCGGGGGATGTGACTTTTGGGGGACCAGAAAGTAAAATATTGCAAACTGAATTCTAAAATGGGTCCCAGGAATGTTGACCCCCGGTATCCATGCCTTATAAAATCCCCTTCCCTTGAGTGTGGGTGGAATGTGCAAATGTGATGGGAAAATCACTCCTCTGGTTGGGTTATGCTTTGACCACAGTTGACATTAAGAAAGGGAGATGATTTTGGGTGGGTATGATCATCGAGGTGAGCCCTGAAAATGATTGACCTTCATCCCGAGAGACCCAGGAGGGTAATTGAGATAAGCACCTGGAGTCAGGTGTCTGAGTTGCCTTCCTCTCTGGCTAGGCCAGCAGTGGCTTCCCTGAGTAATGTAACGGAGTATGAGGAACACAGAGAACTCTTGAAAAAGTGAAGAATGCTGACTGGCTCAGAGGGAGACAACTGGCAGAAGCCTGAGCAACAGCCTTGAAGGTTTTAGCCAATCAGAAAAAGGGTTCTAAGCTGACAATTTTGTTGCTCATTGCAAAGTCTGTGCGAAGAGGCCTGTGAGCCTGGGCAATGCGCAGGTCTGATTCAGCCTCTACACACAGCCCCACAACAGAGTGGAGAGAATTTCCCCTTAAGACAAGAGGGAAGGGTTGGGCCAGACTTCTTCATTTATTCTGAGGGACACTGAGGTGGGGCTTGAAGGGACTAATGTACCTTCCAGGTCCCCTTCCGACCATGCACCTTGCCCCCCAGCCCTATTCCAGCTCTGATGTCCCTCCTTTCTCCTTTCATCCCACCATGGAAACCCTCCTTATTCTGATCCTAAGTACAGCACTGTGAGTGGAAGCTTGGGGACTAAGTCTCAGGTGCTCTGGAACCATGCACCTAGTACAGAATACTGAGCTGACTCACTGCTTTCATGTGCCGCTAATGGAAACTTCTTGTGTCTCTGTTCTATTTCTTTTTACCTGGTAAACTCCTTACACTCTGCTTTCAGATCCTGACCTCTGTTATAAAAGAACACAAAATATAGGGAAGAGATAGAAGGAGGGAGAGAAGGGTAGGAGATACTTAATGTTTTGTTTATCAGTGTTTGCCACCACTGTTGTAATTGCTCTATAACCATGTAACACTGACCCTAGTCATGGGCAAGAGGAGCCTAATAATTAATAGATCTGCTAAAAAGACACATTGATACTGTTGCCATTCCCAGTTTGATAACTTAGGGCTGGCCCAGTAAGTGCCACATCTGTGCACAATCTATTACTCTAACATCTCCTTCCTGGTCAACATCATTCAGGCCCCAGGAAATGTTTCTCCACATCTTTTGCTCTCTATCCATGAAACTAAAGGTGATTGTGTCTGACTTCTGTGAATGTTTGTGGATTGCACCTTTGCTGACATAGGATGACTGTGCTTAAAAGTGAACTTAACTTTTCAAATACTTTCAGTCAAAAAGCACAAATATAAAAGACTCTTGCATAATGAAGAATCACATGCCCACAGGACTGGGTGTCACCTTTTTTTTTTTTTTTTCTTTTCAGCTTGTTTTCTAGCTCTCCATATTAACCTGGTATTCCCAACAGTTGCACATGGCAGCTGAGGAACATTTTGTAATATTAAACAAGCCATATTAGGATTAAGTTTGTATATATAATGATCTGGATATAAAATGCATGAAACATGGTCCATGTTTTACCAAGAGAAGCCTAAGCAAAAGAGGTTCAGTAATTTGCTGACTCTCACAAAGCCTATTAGTGGTAGAACTGTAGCTCAAAACCATTTCCTCATAAGAACTATGCTCTTCCCACCACAATTTAAGGTTCCTCAGAGTGTCTAAGGTAATAGAAGTAGCCATCTCTGAGACAATAATTTTCTCTTTAATGAAAAATGATGCCACTTATTTCCTACTAAAAATCTCATGGATACAAACTAAAAATCCCAAATGTCACAAAGATGTCTCCTCTTGGTCATTTTTCATTCAGTTCTTTAAATCCCTGAGGCATTCAATCTCTAGAATTTCTGTAACTAGGAGAAAATCTTCAGCTCAAAAGTTCTTCTAGTATAATTTGATGGAGACATACTGCCAGGCTGAGAACCTTCATAAATAATTGGACTTAGAACCTTCCTAAAAACTGTCTGCCCAGAGACAGGTGAGGCATTTCAGTTCCAGTGGTGATTGGTTCACTTTCTAGGGACTTTGAACCTAGGACTGAGAACCTTCCTAAAAATTGAGATCCTTACTAAAAATTGTCTGCCCAGAGACAGATGAGGTGCTTCAGCTCTAGTGCTGATTGGTTCCCTTCCTAGGGACTCTTCAATCCTACTGTGGATGGAAGCCTTCACAGGTCTTTATTCTCTGAAGTGAGTACTCAGAGCCACCAGGTAGGAGCTGTGTCGACTACCAATTTTTCCCTTTTTCCCAGTGATGCCTGGGAAGATGGCCCTGTGGATCTCCAGAGGCCTCTGGACATCAGCTGTGATGATGATCTTGGTGGTGCTGAGTGTCCCAGTGGCTGAGGGCAGAGACTCTCCACGTAAGTGCGGTGAACCAGCTCCCCAGAGCCACCCCTCTGGGGAGCAGGGTCTGAAGGACTTTGGGGCTAGAGTGTGGAAGGGACTATGATCTCAGAATATAGTCTTTTATTATAGATTTTCTCTCTTTGGGGTAGGCAGCTGTGTTACATTCTCATTGCCACCTCTAAGCATGAGGACAATCCCCATCCGGTGGCTCAGTCCATCCTGGGGATGTTATAATGGGGAGGAGGAAACAAAACATGCATCTGCTACCACTGATGGGACAAAGTGACATTGGAGTTATTTTTGAAAATAGGAATATTTTGAAAGTAAGAAAATAAGAATCACAGCAAGATTTTTCATTTCAGGGTCCCCCAAGACCCTATGATCACACACTATGAGATTCTGTGTTGGAGAAATATAGGACAGGGATGGTCTCTGTAGTCTTTGTATTTGAGAAAAAGCACTCTACATTCCTGATTCTGAGTGGAGTGTGCAAGGATGCAAACTCTTGGTATTTGAGTGAAGCTGGCTGTGTGACCACAGACAGAAGTCTTAACATCCACTTTCACTAGTTTAGGTCAGATAGTAACTTGTGTGGGATTCGGAGACTTGAATTGATGGTGGACTGAATTTGACAGAAAGGAGAGTGTAAAGAAGAGGAAATAGCACATACTGAGAAACCATTTTAGCCACAAGATTAATGTCTTCATATAAATTCTCTCTGGATTTTCTTAACACCCCTATGTGTAGACATATTGACTTCCAATTTACAAATTATATGTATAATATAGGTACTGTGTTTAGTAACCTACTCAAGTTGGTAAGTGGCAGGGTTAACCGGAAATCTATTTTATCTCATTCAAAAGACTGTGTTCTTTCCATGAATAAATGTCTCTCTCTAGGACTTGGAATGTGTGTGTCCCTTCTAGCCCCGCAGGAGTGAGCAACCTTACAATGCAGCTGGGTGGGTGTGACAGAAACTCAGGGTAAACCCAGGCATTAGAAGGAAGGCCCTCTGCAGGGGATGAAGAGAATATGCTTATCAGGAGGAAGTCAAGCTTCATTTTCGACATTTCTCCTCATTCCCTTGAACTCTTGTGCTTAGGCAGACATTTGTTTGTCTCTGAGGTTCCCTAAAGTTCTATGGAAAATGGGATTTCATGTGAGAATGTCCTGATCTGAGCACAGGGATGGATATAAAATCACCCGGACTGCCCTGTTTTCCTCAGTTCTCAGGCTCAGGCAGGGCTCAGAGGTCGCAGGGTTTGTCCCTAGAGAGGGGCTTTCTTCCCTCCCCTCCCTGTATGAAGGCAGTTCTGGAAGCCCTCAGAGGGGGCAAGCAGGCCTGGGAAGGAGGATGCTCAGGGCAGGGGTGACAGGCATCCAAGGCGGAGGCCTTCGGGTTTATCAGGCCGCCTGCCAGTGCCCCACAAGGCCCGCGCTGTTCGGTGACTTTGGGTCGGGCTGAGGGGCGAGGGCCTGACTGACCTGCGGTGATTCTCCGCAGAGGATTTCGTGTTCCAGTTTAAGGGCGAGTGCTACTTCACCAACGGGACGGAGCGGGTGCGAGGCGTGACCAGATATATCTATAACCGGGAGGAGTACGTGCTCTTCGACAGCGACGTGGGGGAGTACCTGGCGGTGACCGAGCTGGGACGGCCGAGCGCTGAGTACTGGAACAGCCAGAAGGACATCGTGGAGCGGACGCAGGCCGAGGTGGACACGGTGTGTAGACACAACTATAAGATTGAGGAGAGGACGACCTTGCAGCGGCAAGGTGAGCGCTGCCAATCTCTCTCCACCGTCCCCAAGTCCAGCCAAGTCTCCGCGGGGGAAGGGGCGGGACCGAGCGGGGGCGGTGTCTCTCGGGGGTGGGGAGGGGCTACCAAACTTGGGACTGGGAGGCAGGGCGCGTCCTGGGGCAGAGGGGCGGGGACGCGGGGGCAGAGCTCCCGGACTGACCAGGCTTCCCAGCACAGTTCCCAGCTGAGGCGGGTGGGTCCTCCCAATGGGGCAGCACTTTCTCTGCCCTTTTCAACACTGCTGCGTCGCCCGGCTCCCTACTTGCGTGTTTGCTTTCTCTTTCCCCAGCTTTAAGTAAGCAGAGCCCAGGGCGCTGCCCATCCCTGCCCTGGTTCTGCAAGGAATGGTCCCACCCCCATGAGCCTTGGTAGGCTGGGCCAGGTGGGGGGAGAACACCTGGCACACGTGGTAAATATGTTAGTCTTCACAGGCCAAATTTTGACTTTTTTGTTTTCAAATTATGATTCATCTTATATGTGTTCTTAAATGGCTGGTACTAGTCCTGGACTTCTCTGAGGGGAGGAAATGCTTATCCTTGTCTGCCTAGTATATGACCCAGTGACTGTCAGGTAGTGTGAGTGCAAACTTCCGTGGAATAAACGAATAAATGTACTTGGCTGACCATTCACTAGACTCAAGGGAAAATAGAAAGGTAAATAAGCCTTAAAAATTGACTCTATGAATTAGTCTTTACTATTTTGCTTAATCCTTTAAGGTAAACGTTGTACCTTGGATCTTAATAACTTAGGTTTTGTGAATGCAAAGTTTAAGAAAAAAGTGTTTACTAAAATTATAAACTATATTTGCATGGTACTATAAGGCAGAATTTTAATTTCTTAGAAAATCTTAACTAATGTCAGAATAGGAAGAGCTGAGGATTTGGAGTCAATAAATTGATGCTATTAAATTATTGAGTAAAAATTGCTTCAGGTTCCCTTTGGCCTAAACCCTATTATCCTCCTTCCCTCTGCATCCTCTCCTCAGGACATCACCATTCACATCAAGGGTAGACATTCTGCAAGTTAATTGTAGCCATTTAATAAGCACCTACTTCTAGACAAATACCTTACCACACACTGCCTATATGACACCATTCAATTTCAAAACTAACTACCTTGCATATTAGGGATTAGCAAGCACTTTATATATGAACAGGTGTGGAAGGAAAGAAGTCCAGATTTATTATTTTTATTTTCAAAAATTTTATGAATAGTGTCCTGTGTAATACAGCAATCTAAAATTTAAAAATGTTTCATTTTGGGGCACCTGGGTGGATCAGTGAGTTAAAGCCTCTGCCTTTGGCTCAGGTCATGATCTCAGGGTCCTGGGATCAAGCCCCTCATTGGGCTCTCTGCTCAGCGGGGAGCCTGCTTCTCCCCCTCTCTGTCAAATAAATAAATAAAATCTTTTAAAAATTTTAAAATATTTCATTTTATCGATTAATATCAACAGAATAACTTTCATAGGATAATTACTATTATTTCTTCAGACTCTGAAAAGTAAGCTGACTCGTGTTTATTTGAACTAATAAAGTGGCCAAGCTCAGATCTTAATCCAAGACTCAGAATCCAGGGACCTTTCCACCCTGGTACCAAGACAGGACTCTTCTTTATGGGGAGACTTGCCGTGCAGTCTCACATCTCACTGTCTTTTCTTGTCTGTTACTCCCCTCAGTGGAACCTGCAGTGACCATCTCCCCATCCTGGACGGAGGTTCTGAACCACCACAACATGCTGCTCTGCTCAGTGACAGATTTCTACCCAGGCCAGATCAAAGTTCGGTGGTTTAAGAATGACCAGGAGGAGAAAGCTGGTGTGGTGTCCACTCCACTTATTAGGAATGGGGACTGGACCTTCCAGATCCTTGTGATGCTGGAAATGACTCCCCAGCGAGGAGATGTCTACACCTGCCATGTGGAGCACCCCAGCCTCCAGAGCCCCATCACAGTGGAGTGGCGTAAGGGACAATCTGTTTCCTTTCACCATGGGCCCCACAAGCCAGAGAGCAGAGCTTCCTCCAGCCCGTCCCATTCCATTCCTCATCCTTGATGTCACTCTGATGCCCATGGCAGGAGCATCAGAACAATCTCGATCTCATTGTCTTTCTAGATACTAGAGAGATTATTCTCCACACCCTGACCCTACAGACCAGCCCTGTAGCTCTGAAGGATTTATACTCTGGCTGGTGACTGGGGTCTTGGAGTCTGAGGTTAGGGACATGTTGGGAGGGGCAGGATTCAGCTTCCCCCTCTCTCTCACATACCCACTGGGTGCGAGGGTCTGTCAGTGGGTCCTTTCCTCCCCTAAGGGTGGCCAGAAGGGAGCACTAGGTTTGCCTGGCCCCTCCAGGTCCTCTACTTTAGACCGGACTTCAGGCTTCCCAAAGGGACGCTGTAGGGTGTGGGGACAGCCCTGACACTCAGGCTCTGCTCCCAGGGGCACAGTCGGAATCTGCCCAGAGCAAAACGCTGAGTGGCATCGGAGGCTTTGTGCTGGGGCTGATCTTCCTCGGTCTGGGCCTTATCGTCCGTCACAGGAGCCAGAAAGGTAAGGCGCTCTGGGGAAATGGGGGAGAAGGGCTGTGCCTGAGGCCCTCTGTTCAGGGGGGCCTGTGCCTCTGGATGTAGCTCTTTCCTTCTGACCCTGAAAGGAAGGAGGCTGGGCTGGTGGTGGGAGGAGATGGAACAACCTAGGGGGAGGCTTTGGACTCTGACGTTACTGGTTGAAAGGAGCCCCATCATGGAGGTCCCAGGTGGAGTATATTCTAGGGCTTCCTGACAGCTCATCATTGTCTCTCTGGCTCCTTTCTGAACGCTCCTTCTTTATGAGGGTCAGAGCCTCTGCTTCCCTTCCTGCTGGGGACAGTTTCATTCATTTTGGGGGATTTAACTTAGGGCAGTTAAAGTCTTCTGGTTGATGGGTAGGGACAAAGTAAAATTCCACTTAAGTTGCTTATCTTACCTCCCTTTGGGGTGAGTGAGACACTGGCTGTTTGTGTAATGAGACCTTTTTCTGTATCGTTTCTTTTTGTAGGACCTCGTGGGTCTTCGCCAACAGGTACTAGTTCTGCTCTTATTCGGTGGGGGTGTGGGCACCGGTGAAAAAAGGCAGAGCATGAGGTGAGTGCGCTCAGTTCATGGCCTCGTCCCTGCTACAGAGATCAAGAGTTAGGGAGAAGTTTGCCCAGTTTCTGTAGGCAGACCCAGAGTTGTTCCAGAACCAGGCCACAACATTGGTGGCGTCTTTCTGTGAAACGCGGAACCAGAGCTACGTCTTGGGTGTTAGACACCAGGATGATGCCCATGTTGTGTTTCATGTTGGCAGCTACTGCCTGTGAGAGTTTATAAATGAAAGGCTACTAGTGGTGGAAAGAAGGTGAGTTATCATTACATTTAGTAAAACTTAATATCCCCTGAAAGGATAACAGCTACTTCATAGCCTCCCACACATCTGTGTGCAGCTGGAGTGCCCTGTTCTCATGAGTTAATAATACCTTTCTAGAGATATTCGGGGAGGTGATGACAGTATGCCCTGGACCCCACCTTTCTCTGATGCTGCAGTGGACGTGAGAAGTGGGTAGAGGGCATGTCCCTCAGGGTCCCCTGTGCTGATTACCCTCTTTTCTACAGGGCTCCTGCACTGACATCAGAGGATACCTGGGATTCCGCCTTCTGTGTTGTCCGCCTGTCCTTGCCCAGAATTCCCAGCTGCCTGACACCCTGTCCCCCACATGGATCAGAGTCCTACAGTGCCTCTGACAGAGTCACCAGGTCACCTCCTGTGACCCCTGCCCCGAGGATCTGACTGTGGTGCTGCTTCCTGCACTGACCCCGGAGTCTCTGCCTGTGAGCTCCCTGCCAGCAGCATCTACTCCCGCCCCAAGGGCTTTTCTGTTTCCATTCTTCCTTCTCAGATGGTGCAAGAGGAGCACATTGAAGCCATTTAGCTGAATGTAGAGATCTTACAGTGATTAAACATGATTATGAGTTCTCTGTACCCTGAGTCTTCTTAACTGGGTGGAGGCAGGAAACCAGTGCAGAAGGAAAGGATCATAACTTCTCCTTGAAGGGAAACTAGGGGCACCTGTGGGTGCCAAGTGAAGAGCAGGCAGAGGAGAGAGAAGATCAATCCGATAGTTACATCCTTCATAGGTATTTGGTATTGTTCCCTGCAATGGCCTAAGGGTGTGCCGGCCTCTCTTTAGGTGTGGTGAGCATCGTGTATATAAGCTGACAGTGGGATTATGCAGGCACAGATATAGTGGCCCCTGGTGTCTCAGAGAACCACAGGGGTGTTTCCAGTATATCTTGGAATTCACATTGATCAAGGTCCATTTTTTTTTTCCTAAAGATTTATCTATTTACCTGACAGACAGAGATCACAAGTAGGCAGAGAGGCAGGCACAGAGAGAGGGGGAAGCAGGCTCCCTGCTGAGCAGAGAGCCCGATGTGGGGCTCAATCCCAGGACCCTGGGATCATGACCCGAGCCGAAGGCAGAGGCTTTAACCCACTGAGCCACCGAGGTGCCCCGATCAAGGTCCATTTTTATTTTGAGAAAATATAACTAACAATAAAAGTACTGTTTCTGGTTTCATGCGATAGAAACCCAACTCATGTTTACTTTGTTCATGTTACAAGGAAGTCTTGGGTCAAACTGATTTCAGAAGTTACTAGATCCAGACATTCAATGAGATCTTTATTTCCCTCTTGTCTTTCTGTTATATCTCTATTTATGTACCTTTCTTTCTATGTGTCTCTCTTTGTTCCTCATATTTCTTTCAGCGTGTCCCTCTGCATCTTTTTATTGTATTTCTTTACTGTTGTATTACTTTTAATGTATAATATTATGTTAGTATCTGGTGTGCAATACAGTGATTTGACAGTTCTGTATATTACCCTGTGCTTGCCACAATACATATAGTCACCATCTGTCACCTTATTACAATATTATTGACTACATTGCCTTTTCCTCTCCATGACTTATTTCTTTTATAACTCTAAGTTTGTACCTCTTAATCCTCTTCAGCTATCTTGCCTATCCTCCTATCCATCTCTCCTGTGGCAACCACTAGTTTGTTCTCTGTTTTTACAAGTCTGTTTCTGTTTTTTTTTTTGTTTTGTTTTTTTGTTTGTTCATTTGTTCTGTTTTTTAGATTCCACGTATAAGTGAAATCACATGGTATTTGTCTTTCTTTGATTTATTTCAGTTAATATAATACGCTGTAGCTCCATCCATGTTGTTGTAGACAGTAAGATATAATACTCTGTGGTAGAGTAATATTGGATTGTGTATATATGTCTCATCCTGATCCATTTATCTATCAATGGACACTTGGAAACTTCCTTATCTTGACTATTGTGAACATTGCAATCAACATAGGGGTGTCCCTGCACCTTTTTATGTCTGTCTCTGCCTCTCTGTCTCTGTTTTGTCTCTCATTCTTTCATTGCATTTCTGCCTCTGTCTCTCTATTTCTATCTGCACCTTTGCCATTATTTATCTGGATCCTTTTATTTCTGTCTGCATCTCTCTTTCTCATTACCACACATCTTATCCCATCTTTGTTTCCGTCTGTACATCTATCTGTCTGGTTCTGTTGTGTGTTTTTTACAGTATCTACTAACATTTGAACAATATTAGAAGATTCTGATTGGCCAAGCCTGAGCAACGTGCACATCTCTTAAAAACATCCTCACTTGCATTGGGTGCACATAACCAGCCTTGCATCCACCCCTTTTTCTGGGGACAGGTATTGGATCTTCCAGGTCTTGGTGAAACTGCAGATGACTCCCCAGTGGAAATATGTCCACACCTGCCATGTGGAGCACCCTCCAGAGCCCACCACAGTGGAGTGGTGCAAGGGGCAGTTTGTCCTTATATCATGGACCCAGGGGATAAGTGGCTGAGTTCCCCTCTGCTTCTAGAGTCCCTTTTTGGGGCACCAACTCACAACCATTTCACTCCTTATCTCCTGGACAGTCTCCTAATGGCCTTAATGAGCTAGGATTCTCAGAGGATAGGGTTCTTCTTGTCTGTGAACATAGTGACTTGTTGATTCCTGACAGGTGGTAAGGAAGTCACTGTACAGAGTGGCTCCTTTGATGTGACCCTGGCAATAAATGGTGGTCTCAATCTCAGTTTCCAAGTTTTGTTAGTAAGACATGTGACTGGGAACTTTACTTGGAGGTTATGAAGGGTAATGCCAATGAGTAATAGGCTTCTCACCTCCCTGCTCTCCCACTCACTCAGTGGACCTCAGTAGCCAATGGCAGGTCCTTTCATCTCCTGGACAAGGTCAGAATGGAGAATAAGGCTTCCTTGATGCCTTTGTCTTTCTTATTCATGTAAGTCGTCAGACATGGGCACTATGAAGGTAGACGAATACTGACATTCAGGATTTTGCTCTCCGAGGTCATGGTCTGAATCTGCCCTAACAAGATGCTGAGTGGTCAGAGTTTTGTACTGGTTTTGTCGTCTTCCTCAGGGTAGGCATTGTCATTCCCTATGGGAGTCAAGGGGGAGTGACACTCTTGGGAAAATGGGAAGGGATTGTGCTAGATGTCCAGAGAGCCCTTGGTCTCTGTATGTAGCTCTTTGCTTTTGACCCTGCAAAGTCAAGAGGTAGGGCTAGAGATTAAACCAGATTCAGAGTTTAGGGAAACAACGAGCTCTGATTTTTCTAGTTGAAACCTAAGCTCTATTGTGGTGGTAAGTGGTAGAGTGTATTCTAAGACTTTCTTATAGGTCAGCATTGTCGTCTTGGTCCTATGCAAGAAAGTTTCTTCTTCTCATTTTTTTTTAAGGTTTTATTTTTAAGTAATCTCTACACCTAAGGTGGGGCTCAAACTCAAAACCCCAAGATCAAGAGTTGTATGCTCCACCAAGGTAGCCAAACAGGTATCCTTTTAATAAGAGGATCAGAGTCTTCTTCCTTCTGTCCAGTGACAGTTTCATAGAAACAACTATTCCTTGCTGCCACATTTCATTGGGGGAACATAGTCTTTAACTGTAATTTAGTCAAAATAAGAGCAGCCTGTACAAAGAAGTTTGCTAACAAAAAGAGCTGAGTCTTATTAGGCTTATTCCTTGGAGAAAAATATATGGGTGTCCTAGAATAATCTACTGGTTGTGAGTATTTGGTCTTACTTTCAATCAAATGGCAGTATTCCTTCTTATTCATGGCCAAATGCCATTGTAAATAAATACCACATCTTCTTTATCCATTTATCTGTGGATATACTTAGGATATTTTCTTTTAAAAAAAATTTTTTTTTTTAAATTTTCAGCATAACAGTATTCCTTGTTTTTGTACCACACCCAGTGCTCCATGCAATCCGTGCCCTCTCTAATACCCACCACCTGGTTCCCCCAACCTCCCACCCTCCCGCCGCTTCAAACCCTTCAGATTGTTTTTCAGAGTCCATAGTCTCTCATATCTTAGCTATTGTGCTAAGATGTGAATAATGCTGCAAAAGACATGGTAGTGTAGATATTACTTTGATATCCAGTTTCATTTTCTTTGACTATATTCCCAGAAGTGAGATTGTTGGATCATACAGTAGTTCTATTTTAAATTTTTCAAGGAACATCCTTACTGCCTTCTATAGTGGCTATCTACCATACCAATTTACACTTTCCTCCTGAGAGTGCATAAAGTTCCCTTTTCTCCACATCCTCACCAGAACTTATCTCTTGTCTTTCTGATAACTCAAATAGGTGAGAGTTGCTATTTAATTGTACTTTTGATTTGCATTTCCTTGGTGATTGCCTAAGTTGAATATCTTTATATATATGTACTGCTGGCAATTTGTCTGTCTTCTTTGGACGAACGTCTACTCAGTTCCTCTCCCCATTTTTTAAATTGCGGTCTTCAAAGCTACATTTTTTTTTAAATTTTAAATTTTAACTCAAGTATATTTAACATACAGTATTATATAGTTTCACGTGTGTAATAGAGTTATTCAACAATTCTATATGTTACTCAGTGTTCATCATGATAAATGTAGTCTTAATCCCCAATGCTGATTTCCCCCATCCGCCCACCCACCTCCCCTCTGGTAACTCTCTGTTCTCTACAGTTAATAGTCCATTTTTTGATTTTCTCTTTTCTCCTTTGTTCATTTTGTTTCTTAAATTCCACACATGAATGGAATCCTATGGTATTTGTCTTTCTCTGACCAACTTGTTTTGCTTAGCATAATACTCTCTAGCTCCATCCACATCGTTGTAAATGACAAGATTTCTTCTTTTTTTTTTTTTTTAAATGGCTGAGTGATATTCCCTTGTGTATATATACCACATTTTCTTTATCCATTCATCAATCAATGGACATTTGGGCTCTTTCTATAATTTGGCTATTGTTGATAATGTTGCTATGAACATTGGGGTGCACGTATCCCTTCGAAGTAGTATTTTTGAATTCTTTGGGTAAATACTTCGTAGTGCAATTGCTGGATTGTAGGATAATTCTACTTTTAACTTTTTGAGGAATCTTCATAAAGTTTTCTAGAGTGGCTGTACCAGTTTGCAGTCCCACCAACAATATGAGAAGGTTCCCCTTTCTCTGAATCCTGAATACCTGTTTTTTCTTGTGTTATTAATTTTAGCTATTCTGACTGGTGTGATGTGATATCTCATTATAGTTTTAATTTGTTTTTCCTTGATGATGAAAGATGTTGAACATCTTTTTATGAATCTGTTGGCTATCTGTATGTTTTTTTCTTTTTAAATATTTTATTTATTTATTTGACACAGAGAGAGAGATCACGAGTAGGCGGAGAGGCAGAGAGAGGGGGAAGCAGGCTCCCTGCTGAGCAAAGAGCCCATGTGGGGCTTGATCCCAGGACCCTGGGATCATGACC